CGGATTCTGTCGAGAATCCTTTATCATAAGTAATCGTAGGAAAGTCGGAGACATGCGCATCTTTATATATTTGTACTTTCTCAATAGGAAAAATTCACGTGAAATTCACTAGTGTGATCTGTTTCATGTAGTGAGAGTCCCCTTCATTTTTTTATGAATAGCATATACCCACATACATAGTACGCGCCAGAATTCGTGCAACATGCCGACATATGCGAAAGATTGATACTCTTTCGTAATACAGCATTGGTTCAGGTTGTGCTGCTGATTATCGTGTAGTCTATTCTGAAGTTATTTTAGTCATTATATTATGTCGGCTTTTTAATGAGCTTATTTCTGACCGCTAACAAAAGGTATATGCTGTAAAAAGTAACTACCTAAATAGTATGCGTTTTTGTCATTGATTTAGACTGCCTTTATAAATTCAAATATATTACATGGAAAAGGTGTACCAAAAATATTTCTTGTACTTGTTTGATAGAAAATTATGCCTTCTTTAAATTTTATACTTAAAGGAGGGGTATCTTTCGTTTTTAAAAAATTTATAATTATGAGCTTTTTTACGATTGTGAGATGTTTATTCATAATACGTTGCATCCGTCAATTTATTAATGCTTTCTATATTGTATAAACCATGCTCCATATCTATTGCAATATTCTATGAGAAATATGTGACTTCTTCCTCAAACTGTAGGTTAAAACGTACTTTTCCTTAAACAGGATGTATACAGTGTGCAGTTTTTAAACCTTGAACTCGAATGTAGCAGTCAGTAGGTTCCAAAATTATTCAGCAATTTAGAAACTTTTTTTTAAAACCGAAAGATACCCTTTCTTTAAGTATAACATTCCAAAAAACGTGTAATTTGCTACTAAACGAGAACAAGAAATAATTTTTTCGTGTACATCTTCCATAAAATATATTTTAATTTATAAAGGCAATAAAAATCAATGATAAAAACTCATACTATTTAGGTAGTTACTTTTTACAGCATGTACGTTTTGTTACTGGTCAGCACGAAGCTCGTTAAAAATCTCGCATCATATCATGAACTCAGTATAAACTACACGGTAATCAGTATCACAATCTAAGTCAATGCTTATTACTGAAAGAGTATCAATCTTTCGCATACTTCGGCATGTTGCATGAATTCTGGCGCGTACTATTGAGCCATGATGTGGTAGGCGGTGATGCGTCGTACTTGTTATCCATGTAACTTTTCTTAAGTAACTGTTTTAACTCGAAAACTGTTCGGCCTTTTTTCGTGCATATTCTGTTTAGGTGTTTCAATAAAACGATCGGTTACAGAGGC